TGCTGAGGTTTCACAGGAATCTGAGTGACGGAAATGTGTTTCCTCAGAATCTGCTGAGGATACGTAGGGTTTGGAGAAGATGGAATGAATAAAGCTGTCTCCTGTTTGTAATGCTGTAGTCATCTACGTAGGTGGAGTAGCGATCCTGCACAGTTCCTAGAGCGTTGCTGAAAATGTGTTCATTGTTGGTTTTGTTTCAACAGGTCATGGACTGTGTAATTCTGGATGATGGCGGGTTTCTTTTGATGGCCAATCATGACGATTATACCAACCAGGTATGAACCTAAAGAGGAAAGAAGTAGGGTTTCCAAAGTGTGTTTCTCTGATCTATAGTACAACAGTCCTTACTGCCACTATGAACACTGATCCTGTAATTGCTGAATGTCATGTAAGCCATAAATAAGGAGCAGCATTCAGAGTGTATTTTCCCTTGTGTTTGTTACTAGAATGTACTTCCTGGTACTAAGAAACAAACAGTTACCTGTAATACAGTTGGCTGAGGAGTGCAAAAGGGGGCGAGCATTGTTGCTTGGATCTTCCAGAAATGTAGACATTGTTCAGACAGTAATCAGTTGATAGTGTGTATGTGAATACGTGGGTGGTTTGAAGCAAAGTGTCAGCCTCCAAATTGTCAAAGTGGCCGCACAGAGGATAGGTAGGTCGCACGGGATGGTCCACGAAGTGGAAGTACTTACCGGGAAACTTCATTCTGAATCCGCACGTCTGGCTTGTGCTTGAAAGAGGAAAAGAAGTCTCTCAACAACAGTGGTCTGTTTCCAAAGTGACTGACAGTGATTATGGGTTGGAGTGGAGCCACTCGAGGTGGTCCCTGCGGCAGAGACTCACAGCAGCTGATCGCTGCCTCCAAGGGTCTTTGCGTAGGTTCTCTCATTTCTCTCATTGTGATGATACTGCTGCATTCCTCAGGCGGCCTTGGGTTGTGACTCACTGCTTAGTGTAGTGTCCATCCCTTCCACAGGTGGCATGTGGGGCCCATGAGTCAGGGGAACACCGAGTGTCAGTGGACTTCTGTGAGGGCGCAGCGCTGGTTTATTGCCGAGCTTGGTTTTAAGCTCCTGATCAGATTTCCTTCCGTGTGTTCATGTTATGTCTTTTCATTGCAGTGGTGAAGGTGTTAATATGTGGCCTAAATGTGAACCTTAATCTCCTTTTTTTTTTCCTTCATTAGATTGGAAGATTTTTTGGAGAGATTGATCCAAGTTTGATGAGACACCTGGTGAATATATCCGTGTATGCTTTTAACAAGTCCTATGATTATCAGTCAGTGTGTGAGCCCGGTGCCGCCCCGAAGCAAGGAGCAGGGCGTCGCTCAGCATATGTGGTCAGTAGGACGGCCCCCCCCCCGCCCCGACCCGGGGCCGTGCGTCTCAGAGGGACAGGTCGTGTAGATGTGCATAATGACTGTCGTGTTGTGTTTTATAGCCGTCAGTGGCAGACATCTTACACATTGGCTGGTGGGCCACGGCTGCTGCCTGGTAAGTCAAATTGTATTTTTGTTGGTAATGATTGATAGAAAGGTGGTGTGCAGTAAGGAGGCTGATGAAACGAGGGATTTCGTGACAGGGAAATCAGTGGTCAGAAACGACTTGTATTCGTTGCGTATGGCTCACAGTGGTTCCCTTATGTGAGAAATGACTGATCGAGTGATCACTGTCCACCTGTTGTCAGTATGTGGGTGTTTACAGGAAAGCAAGGTTACACTCATGCAAACCTCAGCCTTTTCAGGGACTGTTTCCTGTGAGCCTGTTGAAACTGTTGTCATTCTGTTTGTTTCTTTGAATTATGGTGAATTTTAAATGTTAAGTAAGGATGTAGATTTTTTGAGCAGTTACTATGTATCGCCCTCGGCATCAAGGTAGATGTCTTCATCGATTAAAGTCCCAACCCGAGGACTCAGCCCTGTACCTTCGTACTTGTCATATAAAGGCCAGTGGTGATGTAGAGGCATCACGGTCCCGAAAGGGATCAAAGTCTTTCTTTTCAGTAGTCCTACCCCTGTTGCCTATGCCCTGCGACCTCTGGAAATGCAGCGTTGAAACTTTGTATTGAGGTACTGTGGAAAGTTTGGGAGATCAAATATGTGGTTGTGTGGTTCTAGTTAGTCCACTAACTCAGTGCATCAGTCATTCTCCTGCTGTGTGTGGATCCCGCCGTCCCTCCCTCCCTCCGGGAGCGGTGCCCCGCCGTACTGACTAAGCTCTGTTCCAGGTAGATTCCCCCATAGCAGTCCTTTGCCGTTGAGGCTGTTACCGGTGAAAGTAAATGATTATTTAATGTTATGAAAGTAGCAAAGAGTGTACAGTAGGAATGCAGTTATTTTCTGGAGAACAGTGAGACATAGTGCTTTCTGTTGTGAGGGTGAGATTTATATGTGACTGTATGTAGGTTTTCTGTATCCCATAGTCCTCCTGAAGTATGTGATTGTTGTCACATTTTCTGGCCACAGTATCCCTCGTCGCCAGTGTCCTCCCTGCCTCCTTTTTTTTTTCCTCCAAGTACATTCAGTTCCAGGGAGTCCGTGCTAATATGTGGCTCAAGTGTCATTGGCTGTGGAGCAGCAATGTCCCCTATGTCCTCTGCGTAATGTATTCTGTCATGAAAGCAACATTGTGTATGTATGTATAGAGAGAGTCTGTATCGTAAGTAGTCAACCCCGTGGTACGAAGTCATTTGTGTTTTTTGTTTGTTTGTCGTACACTGCAGAGTTGTAAAGTAAGGAGGAAATCCTGAACGAAAGCTAGGCCCTGAGATGAGGAGTCTTGTTCCTGTTAGAGTTGTCCGTCCTCCTTGCTCTCATTGCAGTGTAGGCACTTTGCCACGTATGTGTCCCTTACCTGGTGTTAAGCACGTCTGCCTGCGTGGTTTGTTTTACAGAAGGAGGCATGTGAAATGTGTTGTACAGTGTAGGAAATAGTTTGCCAGGTGTCAGTTGTTTGTTTTCAAAAGGAGGGAAATGAAATAGGTGTGTATGTGGATATGCAAAAATAGTCAGGTTTGTATTGGTTAGTTTAGAAGGGACAAGATGTAGATGGCTATCAATAATTAAGTATTCATGTGTCAAATTTAGGTCTATTCTACAGCAGTTTCTGTTGAGTCTGACATTTCCACGCCTTCTGGAGGCAGGTATGTTATGCTCAGGTAGTGTTATAACTGGGGAAATGTTTTTATTGGGTGTGTGGAAGTCAACGCCCAGAAGGAGTCAGTGTGTGTGTGTGTGTGCATGCGTGCATGAGAGAGATCGTCTATGTGCCTGTTTTGGAAGTTTAAATCTTTTGGTCAAAACTGTGTGTCTGAATGCTTTGGAAAGCATCCTAGGTCACAGTGGCCTCTGTGTTGTCGTCGTTGGGCAGCTATCAGTCATTCAGGGGTTGCTGCTGCTCACACTGTGGGGAGGAAGCCATGGGAGGTGCCCGTCTGCCCTCCGTCCTGCAGTCGTTGTGCGTCCCTAGAAGGGAGGGCTGTGGAGAGTGGCTAGAGGGTGCCGTCGTGACGGTGGTGTGTGTTTGTTTTCGCCACAGTTGAGATGGAAGAGGATGACTTCACGGCCTCTCTGTCAAAGCAGAGTTGCATTACTGAGCAAACGCAGTATTTCTTCGATAATGACAGTAAATCCTTCAGTGGCGTATTAGACTGTGGCAACTGTTCCAGGTAAGTTGTTTGTTTCGTCATCATCGTTGGACTCCTCTTGTGTGACTCAGAAGTTGTGTTTGTGTTTAGACTGTGTGGCGAGGAAAATGGGTCCTGTTGTAGTAGGCTGAGGTGGAAGCCAGTCAGGAAGCTGTACTCCCGTGCACTGTAGTGCTTCATTATGGGATCGAGGTCAGTGCACCCCGTCTTAGGCAGAACAGTGGGAGAGTCTATTGTATTGTCTGTGTAAGAAAGATTTATCTAAGGTAGAGATGGATAGAATGTTCCATGTAAGGTTTGAAACTGTTTTTTGAAGCTAAATTAGAAGCCAGAGAGATGACTGATAGATATCTGTTTACATGTAGTTGCTAAAGAGGTGAAGAAAATGATCGTCTCGGGTAGGAGGTGGTTTTATGTGTCGTGTTCCCTGGAATGTGGAATTGACCGTAGGTGTGGCTGGAAGGTGAAAGAACTGGGAGGAAATAACTTCCTTTTGTCCTGGTGAATGTGAGTCATGAGTATCCTTCAGGTATCTCAGGAATCGTTTGGAAGAGATGGAGAAGTTAATTTTGTTGTAAGGAGAGCGAGGCGAAAGGCAAGGTGGAGATGTGTGTTTGAAGTTGTGAGAGCAAAGGGCTTCTCTGTGTCCTGAGATCCCTGAGAGCTGAGCAGGAAGACACAGCTTACAGGGCACAGACATGGGACCGTGTGTGTGTATGTGGCAACTGAGGACAGTGTATTTTAGGGGAAGTGTTGTGTTGTCCGAGAGCAGAGGAAAGGCG